CCTGAGCCCCGTCCCTCCTTCCCCTTCTCAGGCTGAAATGGGTGTCCACTCCATCACTTTCAAGTGCACCCACCTGCTCCCCAGAAGTTCAGGACAAGCAGAAATGAGGAGAGGCAGAAGTTCCAGACCTGGGCTTCTCTATAGAGTCCTGCGCTTGTTGTGATAGGTGTGCAGAGCATCTCTGAGCTGCAAGGGCTGGGAAGACAGCTGTCCACAGCCTCCTAATCCGTCTGTCTGTCTATCCACCCAGCTACAGGAACTTTGAAGCCAGACTGCTGGCTTCAAATCTTGGCTCCCCTACTGCCTAGCTGCCTGGCCTCTGGCAAGGTATTTAACTTCTCTGTGCCTCAGTTTCTTCCTCTATAAAACGGAGGTGATAATAACACCATCCTTACCCTACAGAGTTGTGTGAAGATTAATTGAGTTAATTTTTGTAAAGTGCTTGGGATGGTGCCTTGCACGTACAGCTCAAAAATGCAGTGGTCAACTTGCTTTCCCGATTGCCTCCTGTCTGTCTATCGTCTATCTATCTATCTAACTTTTCACCTATTTCTACATTCCTCACCTTTCCAGAAAGAATCCATGGTGGCTTACAAAGATAGACAAAGTACAATAAGGTGACATAGTAATGTATAATGAAAGGGGACGCCATTGTCTTGTGTGAAGAGTGCCAGTAGCTTCGTAGCATAGCCTTGAGGATCTGGCCTTTCTAGCTCTGGTTTTGCCATTAACTGTGTGTTCCAGGTAAGTCCTTTAATCTCCCTGCCCTCAAGTTTTCTGTTCCACCCAATGGGGGTCATGGCCCTGCCCTGGTCACTTCCAGCGGTTGTTGCTGAGAGCAAATGATCAGCCTCAGTTTCTTTATCTGTAAAATGGAGCTCACAGGGGTTAAGCGGGCAGTGCGCGCAAAGAGCGTCACAGCACTAACTCTTGTAACCTTATCACGGATATACATCACCTGGCTCTGAAAGCAGGAGAGAGCTGAATGGGTGTCATGGCTCCAGCCTGCAAGGTCATGACATTCACTCTCCGTCTCACTCATTCATGCTCATGTTCGATGGAGGGTGGTTGGTTTTTCTGTGTGCAACAGCTGAGGCTCAGCAGAAGGCTGATGCCTGTTATTTCTCCCATCAGCACAAATAGGACAGTGACAAGAATGACACTTACTATATGTATCCCAGGCTCAGTGCTACACTCTTTACATGCATTATCTCACTCCTCACAGCAACCCTAGGAGGGAGGTACTGCCCCACTTTACAGAAGAGGAGACTGAGGCACAGAGAGGTTAAGCAACTTGACAGAGGCCACACGATTAGCAAGTGAGGCCAGGGTGTGAATTTGTGTTGATCCCCTGCCACTGCTCCAGGAGGATTCAAAGATGGAGTGGTTCCCTTTGGAAGGACTGAACCGCCCCTGGTGGACGCTGACCAGTGGCCTTGACCTTTGGCTACTCTTGGGCATCAGCCTCTTCTGGAGGCCAATTCAGTTGACTAGAATTCAAAGAGGATTCCGCAGTACCCATGGGGTACCTGGCACCAGAGTCCCCAAGGTGAAGGAGTTCCCGGTGGAATGGAAAAGCAGCCTGGGTGGTGTGGGGAAAGCCCCTGACCCCCAAGGCGAGGGCCTGACTGACGTCTCCTCCTCGCCTCTCACTACACAAGGCCCCCTCCTCTCTATACCTCAGACCCCTCATCTGTGAAACGGGGAACTAGCCATGCTTAAGGAGACGTCAGGGAGGTGCTTTATAAACCACAGAAGCAAGGTGTTCCCCTACGATAAGGCTTGGCCCCTTCCTTAAGGAGCCTACAGTGCACTGTGGAAAACTGGCATCGAAACAGCTAGAGTGCCAGGCCGAGCAGTGAGCGCGTCACGGCTGTAGCAGGGAGGACAGGCGGCGGCAGAGACATGGGGATAGAGGGAGAGGCATGGAGGTCGGACGTGCTGGAGGGCTCAGGGTGGTCCTCAAAGGCCGTGGAGGAAGGGGAGGTGTGCCAGGCACTGGGGGCCACTCAGGGAAGCCTCGAGTGACACGTAAGAAATATCAGCTGCAATGGGGGGCGCCCAGCAGTTGGTGGGGGGTGGCTTGGGGGCTTGGGGACCTTCATAGCCCCTGCCACTGCTCCTGAGAGCTCCTGAGTATAGTACACACTGAACATATGTTGAAGCTTCCACCTCCCCATTCCCACCGCCCCAGCTGTGGCTTCTCGGGCTGGCGGGAGAATGCCACTGCCACCCATCCTCGCCCTTCTCTTTGGAAATTTCCTTTGGGAGGGTTTGGAAACTCAGCCAGCTCCTCTCTGCCCCTGCCTCCCTGTGCACCCCCTCACGCCTCAGCGGGAGCCCCTCCATCCACACCATGGCTTTTCTTGTGACCAGGGTAAATATTACCTGCCACTGTTAATGTTTAATGCCCCCACTTCGTCCCCGGTCACCCTATGGCCAGACACCCGCCCCAAAGCAGAGGCAGTAGGAAGAGGGTAGAGGAGACCTGTCTAGTCGTCTGGGGAAATGGCAGGGCTGTCCATGGACGACGGTGAGTGGGACAGTGTGCGTGCGGGTGCGTGTGCAGGTGTAGGTGTGTGTGTGGGTGCGCCTGCGGGTGTACATGCAAAGTAGGGCTGGCTCAGCTTGGGCTGCCTTTGGAGGGGTGAGCTGGACCTCACTCTTCCCTCTCCTGCAACCCCTGCCTTCCTGAGTACCCAGCTCTAAGAAAATCTGCATCTCAAAGATATAGAGCTTGAACGGCAGAACTGCAGGCAGCTGGCGGAAGCTGCTGGGGGTGAGCTTCCATCCCTGACCTTCTGGCATGCACCTACCCTTGGTCGATATACCTTGCTTGCTAGACTGTCTGAACTCACAGCAGGAGGTGATGGGATCTAGCTGAGGAAGGAGCAGGCCCCTCTGGTCATCCTTCCCAGGCTGGATTTGGGGTGAGAACACCAGGTTCACAATTACACTTCCCAAAGGCACCTGGTAATACAGAATGACTCAGGTCTGGAGGCCAACAAGGGCATTTGCTGCCTGAGGTGGGTTTTGAGTCAGATCTAGACCAGGAGAGAGCATCGGGTGGGGGAGGGGTTCATCAAATGCTCAAGATGAGGTGCTCAAGCAAGTGGCAGTTTCTTGGCATGGTGAGGCGAGTCTTAGCTTGGGTCTAGCTTGGCTCTGACATTAACTTCCATGTGACCTTGAACAAGACTTGAAGTCAATCTGGGAAGACAACTTGAAGGCCTTCTGCATGGAGACAGGGACCTGGGCCCCCTGTGACCTGCCCTTGGCCTCTGGCCTCCCCAAGCAACCAGCACCGCAGGCTCTTCAGGAATAGACGCTGACCCCTCCTGGCCTGTTCTCTCCTGGCCTAAGGACTGGTCACTGGGGACAGCTGGGCTCACCAGGCCCTGAGGCCTCCCACTGCTAGAGGCACAGTTCCGCACAGCCTGGGGGTGCTGGCTTGCACACTCCTTCAGCTTCAGGCGCTACTTGCCTGGGGCCAAGAAGAGGCTCAAGCAGAACAGGAAAGAGGGGCAGCCTTCAGCCAGGCAGAAAAGCTCTATCCAGGCCACCTTCCAGCTGTCCAAGGGCAAATGTGCTCATGGGGCTTGAAGGGCAGAACTGTGACATCTGCTGGCTGCTGAGTAGCCCTACATCAGGGGATTGGGGGAGGTAGCCACAGAAGGTGGGGGCAGGACCAGATGCCCTGGCCTTGGGTGGTCTTTCTTCCTACCACCTGAGAGGCAGCATAGTTAAGGGCTTCAGCACCTAGATTCTTAGAAACCTGCTGCCTGGGTTCAAATCTCAGCTCAAATCCTTACTTGCTGAGTCACTGCGGGTGAGTTACTTAACCTCTCTGTGCCTCCATTCTCTCATGGATTACACTGGAATAATACTAATTCCTCATACGGTTGGTATAATGGTTAATAATTTGTTAGCTTTAACCTGGCATGTTTCAAGCACTATATACTAAGGTTTCTAATAAATTTGCTTCCCGCTGAGGATGGCAACATAGATGAGCAGAATCTAGAAACCCGGGTTCAAGACACAGTTCTACTTCCAACTCCCATTGGGACTTTGGACAAGTCTCCAAACTGGGCCTCAGTTTCCTTCTTCTGTTCAATGAACATCAAAGTTCTATTTTATTCATGCAGTCATCTCACAAATATTTGCAAGCACCTTGTAGTCACTTATGAAGAGAGGCTGTAGCACGTAGAATGGGACATGTCTTTCTGGCCTTTTCCTCCTCTGGTATAAGCAAGGGCCAGGAAAGAACCAACCCTTCCCTGAGTTGCTAGAGGCCCCACAGACAGCCTGGACTCCTGCTTTGGATGCTCAGAATGTGGTCCCAGGGTGACTGTGTCTGAAGCAGCCTAGGGCAGATGCCCTGCTAGCCTCCTCTTCCAAGGGTCTCTCTTAACCAGCCTCCCCAGGCCCACTTGGACATTTGGGGGTCCACTGGGAAGGGAAGGACTTGGAATTCCAGCTGTTCCTGTGGCTGGCCCACCATCTGTGACTTCCCCCTCATCCTGCCTCTGGGCTTTCTCCTCAGGTGGCAGCCCCAAGGGGGATGCGGACCCATTCTACTACGGTAAGCCTGGCGGGCCCCTCCCCACCCTTCCTGACCCCTGCCCTCCCCCTCCCCCCTACCAAGCAGCTGGCTCCTGGCTTCTGCCAGCCCTGGGTCCCTGTTATTTGCCCCCCATTACCTCCCCCGTAACCACGGGGCTGCTGCTGGGGTGGCTGCAGGGAGGCTGTCAGGATAGATGACCCACCTGCCTCTTTGGCCCTCTCTTTCCCAAGACTATGAGGCTGTCCGCAATGGAGGCCTAATCTTCGCTGGCCTGGCCTTCCTCGTGGGGCTCATCATCATCCTCAGTAAGTGGGGGTGGCCTCGTGTTGGAAGGGGATGCTGGGTGGGGGCACACCTCTTCTCGAAGCCCCTGAGCACACTGGCTTTCCAGATCCCACAAGGGAGGAGTGAGTCTCCACCCCACCCCCACCCCCTGCAGGAGGTGGGAATGGAGGCTGCTGGGAGGCCCGGCTGCTTGGACCTTGGACCACAGAGTGAGGTTCCCTCTTCCTCGAGTGCGCCCTCTGGTGGACTCAGGAGGAGCTGCCAAGATGGGAGAGCTGTCTCCTTCTGGTCCTGGGAAACTGCAGGGTGAATGGGAGGCCCAGACAAGGGGAACTGGGCACCTGCCCCGATCTGGGCTCTTTCTTAGGCTTGAGCTACATCCTAGCCCATTTAGTCTGCTCATCAGCACTGAGGGATGCCACTACTGTCAGCATTTTACAGAAGAAAAATCAGACACACTTTGAGTGGTGCAGCAACCTGCCCGAGTTTCCACAGCCCATGAGAAGCAGAACCAAGCTCAGCTGAACCCAGGTGACCAGCTCCCCCCTGCTGGAAAGCAAGTGTGGCTGGGAGCCAGACCCTTGGGCCCAGCTGCTAACTTACCATGGATCCCAAACTCCCTGGGCCTCCGTTTGCTCATCTGTGAAACAGGGATGACCCCATCTTCCTCACAAGGTTAGGGCTAGCATTCAAAGATATGGTGGTCAAGAAAGTGCTTCATGAAGGGTCCATTGAAGACATGGAGGGTTCTGGGGGAGAGTAGGGTCCTTACGTATCCCTGCCCCAGCGAGCACACAGCAGGAGCTTAATAGATGCTTGTTGACTTGTTTTGGTGCAACCAAAAGAAAAATACAAAGAAACATAACCAGTGAAAAGAAGGCATATATAAGGCAGACACACCTCTGTGTTCTGGAATTCTAACACATCGTGGTCACTGCCACACCACCTAAAGGCTTCCTTCCATCTGCGGGCCTAGCTGGTCTCCCCGATTCACCTGTTGTAAGCTGCTGGAGGGTAGTGCTGCATAGCGGCTGAGCAGACAGGTGTAGGAAGCAGACAGGCCCAAGCAGGGATCTCAGCTTTACACTTGCTGCCATCCTTCTCCAAGTGTTTATTGAGCAACTACTATGTGCCCAGCCCCGTGCTGGCAGCACCACAGCAGCCCAGTCTCAGCCGCCGTTCTCAGCGTGTTCACAGTCCACCACGGACCCGCTGCAGTAAATGCTCGTTGGCTGACTGACTTAGGCCCTTGAATGCTTATGGTCCAGCCCTATGTAAAGAGAGAGAAATAGTCAAATATGGCCTTGAAACCCAACATCATGGTGATGCTGGCAGAAGGGAGGGAGAAGAGACTGGAAGAGTTGAGTCCTCCAGCATCTCCTGGGAAAATGAGAATAATCCAATGAAAACAAACCTCGTTTTCTCCTTTCAAGGCAAAAGATTCCGCTGTGGGGGCAATAAGAAGCATCGGTGAGTGCTTCGGGGTAACTGATGGGGTGGGCCGGGGCTGGAGAAGGGAGGGCAGGCCGAGGATTGAGCTCTGAGACAGTGTGGCGGGGTCCCCAACATCAGGGGCACCTAGACTGGCCCCGTCGCAGCTGATTTCTTTCTTACCTGCCCTTTTCCTTCCCCCTTCCAGGCAAGTCAGTGAAGATGAGCTGTGACAGTAGGTACGTGTGGGAAGGGCCGAGCAGGGGGCAGCGCAGGGCACAGCTGGGGAGCCACAAGGAAGCTTGGGTGGGCCAGGAAGAATTTCCATCCATGCACCAGCCAGGTGGTCTGTCACCCATTGTGTGTTTAAAAATGATTGCCAAGTGCTTGGTGTGAAGTATGTGACGAGGGAGCTCAGAGGAACCCTAGAGAAGAGTAAGATAAACAAGGGGGAAACAAAAATCCTGACCTCTGCCACCACCTCCTGGCCCAAATCCTGCCTTTGTCTTTTCAGAGTCAGCCGTGCCCGGCCAGAGCATCGGGGCTGGTTGGGAAGTCAAGGACACCCTGTCTCCGGAGTCTTCCTGTCTTCCCCAGGCTATAGACTTTTGTCCTCGCTGAAGGAAGCGCCTGGCTCAATGCGACCCTGGGTGGGCAATGCCTCCTCCCGCCCTGTGCCACCTCGTGCTCATAATAAAGCCCACCAGCTTCAGAGACGGCTCCTTTCTGTACCTCCCTCGCTCCCTCCTCTAACTGCACACCGTCTGGCCTACTTCTTCAAAGTGGAGTTCAAATACAGCCTGGTCTCATTTGTTTTTCAGTTAGTTACTCAGGCACTAATCTGCTTATAAAAGCGAGAAGTTCAATATCGTCACCTGTAAGCTCCTCCTGGCCCCTGAATTGACAGGAGCCTTGGGGTCAGAGACCTCAGCCTGGCTTCCAGATGCCTGGTGGAAGTCTGAAAGGCCCACACGTGCAAAGTCATTGGGTCTGTTGGGTGTTGCTACAGCTTAGTAAACCCAGGGCCAGGGGCCGGGGACTGGACAGTGAGGGTGAGACCACTGTTACCACTTGCTCCAGCTCCCTGTCCTTTCAGGCAGGGACCCACACACCCAGGGCAGCCTTAGCCCAAGATGGTGTCAGGCTGTCCCTTAAGCCTGTGGTCCAAGGCCCTGCAGCGTGCTCCCCTCTGGGAGTTTCTGCACTCAGGACCAAGCCCATCTTCCCGCTTCCTCCCTTCCCACAGAGGCTGGAGGCCTGGCAGGATCATGGCACCACCTAGTGTCTAGTTTCTTCGTGTGAGTCTGCAAATGTCCAGGGAGGGCAAGTGAGAACTGGCAGGGGAACCAAGGGCAGCAGCAAGTTATTGGGGTGTGTTTGGGGGCCAGAGGCAGGGAGCACCACCATTCTGCTTGGGAATTAAGCTCTTTTTCTGAATCCACTGCCCCCAGGCCCTGAAAACCACCGAAAGGTTTAAGCAGGGAAGGTCCTTAGAGAGCGAAATAGACAATTTTCATTTTATGGAAGGGGAAACTGAGGCCCCCAGAGAGGCAGTGACTTGTCCAGGGTGACACAGCCAGCCTGTGACAGAGCCTGAGCTGGAAGACAGGACTCCAGCACCAATTCCATGGCTCTTCCCACTGCACTGACACCCAGGGTGGGGCAGGGGGAAGGTGGACTCCCACTGACCGCCTGTGGGCTTGGAGAGAGAGGGGAGAAGAGAAAAGCCGGAGTTGCGGGGAGAAGCTCCAGAGGAGACCAGGAGTCCGGCAGGGGAGAGCCCGGCTACTTATAACTCAGCACCAAGGTCTCCGTGATGTGCTGCTCTGAATGTGAGCTCACTGATGACAAATAAAATGTGATGGGCCAAACCCTGAAATGGAATCCAGGCACCATTAAATGGAATTCCACACTGGAGACAGGGGCACGCACTTGGGCTCCCACGTGAGGGGGGGGGGAATGAACAGGAATGGGGCAGGTCCAGCCAGGAGGGCTTTCAGGAGGAGGTGTGCTCCCTCCTGAAGCTTCTTGGATGTAGCAGCAAGGCAAATAGGAAGAGGGGGTATTCCAGGCCTGTGGCCCGCAGGGGGGAAGTAAGAGCAATGGAGAGGAGTCACGTTTCTAGAATGTTCTATGCACAGACTTATTGTGCCTTCTGCACTCAGAGGGAAATTCCAGGTGCTCTGGAAGGGAAATGGTCCTGTATGAGCCACTGCCCCTCCCTGACCCTGCTGCAAGGCCTCCTTCCTTGTGAAACATGAAGCTTCATGGGGCCCCAGGTAAACCACCAGATACCCAGGACCCCCTCCAACCTGTTGAATATGGACCTGGGGGTGGGCGCACGCAGGTTGATGCTTAACAAGCTCCCAGGTGACGCTGGGCAGCAGCCAGGGCTCGGAGCCACTGCTCCAAGTGCCATTCTGAGGTCTGCGACCTGCTCCCTGGAAAGACTCTTGTGAACATTTTCCCTTCCCTCTTCAGTAACTGGGAGTTACTGAACTTTCACTTCATTTTTGGATTTCCCACAATTCAGAACTGTATTGAGTCACAAAGAGCAGCGAAGCCTGGAAAGTGATTGGATGAATTACTCCATTTATCACAGAACGTCCACCAGCAGCCTAGGTCTGAAGGTGCAATCCCCCATAGGACCACCAGAGGGAGCATGTGGCTTACTCCTAATTCCCTTCTAAAGAATGTTTTCAGTTCAGCCTTTGCAAGGAAGGTCCTTTGCTAGGGAGGAGGAGGCTCCTGAATGGTCTGTCCCGTGCCCTTATTTCCTAGGAGAGCCCTGAGCTCTTCTCATTCCACTTCTCTGTCCCCTAGGTGCAGCACTTGCCACACTCTGGGATAATTCTTGGCTGTGGGGCCCTCAGCCCTCACTCCTTCTGGGAGGCAAAGACCATATGTGATCTGCACATCTTCCCCAAAGCCTGGGTAACCACAAAGCCTCTACCCCATGGTATGAGTTAATCAGCATCATCCGAAGGACGCTGAGAGGGGAAGAAGTGCCAAACAGGGACATTGGTGTGGTGGGAAGGGAAAGGGGTTTGTTGCCCGAGCTTTCTCAACCCCAGCTGTAGAGATTGATTCTGTAGAATTGATGGGGCAATCAATTCAAGTGGTTTTTAAACTTCCCCAGGTGAATTGAATGAGGAGGCAGAGTTGAAAGTCAAGGCCTAGCAGGTGGGCATGGCCAGGTGGGGTGAGAGGAGAACAGACCAGAGCTTGAGGAAAACCTCATCTGCTTCACGGTCTGGGGAGGGGCAGACAGCCCCACCCTGCCCCAGCAGCAGCCTCACCCCAGTTCCCCTGAGACTAGCCTCGGACGGTGGGGCCACGGGGTCTTCGCCTGAGCCTGCTCGGCCCTGGCCTTTCCTCATGCATCCATAGACAGGAAGAGCTGGGCATGAGGCCCAGGTAGGGCAGGAGAATCAGCCAGCGAGCCTGTCAGCTCTCTTGCCCCTGCCCCAGCTCAAACACCCACTGCCCAGTCCCACCTGGCCTCTGTGTACCTCCAGGGATGGGGAACTCTCAGTGAGGGCACGGGGGCGGGAGGTCTTGTCTTGGGTTCTGGCTGACACTCTTTGGCTAGGTGGCCTGAGACAGGGCTTTTCTTCCCTGGACTTGGTTTCCCTCAGAGGAACTAGAGGCTTGGACTGGATAGTCTCTAGCTCCTCAGGCTGATCTCCTCTTCAAAGTGAGTATGGCCCTGGAAAAAAAAAAAAAAAAAAAAAAAAAAAAAAAAAGGTAAATGCTCTGGGACATTAACGGAAATCACTATACCACCCCAGCAATCCTAGACTCTCCCCAGTTGAGCAAGGAGAGGGTGCCCCAAAGCACTCACCCTGAGTATCTCCACTGGTCCTACCTCTAGCAAAGGGAGTGGGCTCCCTGGGCAGACAGGGGTGGGGTAAAGAGGGGGTGTGCTGTACTGAAGAGGGGCCCAGGGCAGAGGGGGTATTGTCTTCTCCCAGGCCCTGCTCCTCCTCCTCCACACTCCTGGGCGTCAGGGCTGCTGCTGGGGATATGAATCACCTCCCTGCTGATCCATAGCCCCAGGCAGCTGAGCTCTAAACTACAATTCAGTGGGGGCCTCTGGGGTACCAGTAACCTGGCCTCACCAAGTGCCCATTCTTCATCCACTGCCTGACAGGTGCCTGGCCAANAGTGCCATTCTGAGGTCTGCGACCTGCTCCCTGGAAAGACTCTTGTGAACATTTTCCCTTCACTCTTCAGTAACTGGGAATTACTGAACTTTCACTTCATTTTTGGATTTCCCACAATTCAGAACTGTATTGAGTCACAAAGAGCAGCGAAGCCTGGGAAGTGATTGGATGAATTACTCCCTTTATCACAGAACGTCCACCAGCAGCCTAGGTCTGAAGGTGCAATCCCCCGTAGGACCACCAGAGGGAGCATGTGGCTTACTCCTAATTCCCTTCTAAAGAATGTTTTCAGTTCAGCCTTTGCAAGGACGGTCCTTTGCTAGGGAGGAGGAAGCTCCTGAATGGTCTGTCCCCTGCCCTTATTTCCTGGGAGAGCCCTGAGCTCTTCTCATTCCACTTCTCTGTTCCCTAGGTGCAGCACTTGTCCTACTCTGGGATAATTCTTGGCTGTGGGGTCCTCAGCCCTCACTCCTTCTGGGAGGCAAAAACCATATGTGATCTGCACATCTTCCCCAAAGTCTGGGTAACCACAAAGCCTCTACCCCATGGTATGAGTTAATCAGCATCATCCGAAGGACGCTGAGAGGGGAAGAAGTGCCAAAGAGGGACATTGGTGTGGTGGGAAGGGAAAGGGGTTCGTTGCCCGAGCTTTCTCAACCCCAGCTGTAGAGATTGATTCTGTAGAATTGATGGGGCAAT